TACAAATGAAAAATTATACAATATAAATAAATTACAAATGGTAATTAAAAGTACGAGTATTGCAACGTCTGACACGCCATGCATGTGCATCGCCTAAATCTTTAAGGGTATTTTCTTTAGCGTATTATAAACTATTACTCATTGAATCAGAGTATACTCCGCAAGGAAAAGAACATGTTCTGATGATTCTATCAAAATCCTCCGTCTCCCGACATTCAGCTGCGGACTTGTGGCTGTGGCTATTTTCTGCAGAATCTACAGTTTGGAGGAAGAAGCAATATTTTCGTGTAGAGCCCGACTTTTTTTGCAATAGATACTTTAAGGCGCCGAAACCTTTTATGAAAAGTAATTCCTTCAAGAAATGACCAATATTTGCACGAACCATGCAAAAATTCTAATATTACCGTTTTTTTTAAGACTTTGACTCTGTTCATATAAGTAATACTCATCCACTTTTATTTATTATCACATGCTGTCACGTAGCTTATTATTATACATATAAAACATTAGAGTCCCAATTTATCTTTCCCCTTGCAACGATGTTGGAAGAGAAATGGTAAGGGGAAGGGGGGGGGCTAGTTATACCCCACGCAACAAGTTGCGTGAGGTATAATGTTTTTGACCCGTCCGTCAGTCAGTCAGAGTGTCAGTCAGTCAGTCAGTCCGTCAGTCCTGTTTTTTTGTCAGCGCAACTCCTCATAAACCCTGTACAGAATTTCGTCAAACTTTGCAGTTATTTAGGATACAATGTGTAGATGTGCATATTACCAGGAAATTCCGATTCCTTTATTTTCTCTAGGTATTTCCACACTTTTCAACTTAGATTTTTGGCCATATCTTGAATAAGAGATGATCAGTTTGTCAGCGCAACTCCTCATAAACCGCTGCACAGAATTCCGTCAAACTTTGCAGTTATTTAGGACACAATGTATCGATGTGCATATTACCAGGAAATGCCGATTCCTTTATTTTTCCGGGAATTTCCGCAGTTTTCAACTTAGATCTTTGGCCATACCTTGAATAAGAGATGAACAGTTTGTCAGCACAACTCCTCATAAACCGCTGCACAGAATTTCGTCCAACTTTGCAGTTATTAAGGACACCGTGTATAGATGTGCATATTACCAGGAAATTCCGATTCCTTTATTTTTTTCTGGGAATTTCCGCACTTTTAAACTTAGATTTTTGGCCATACTTTGAATAAGAAGTGAACAGATTTTTGGCCATACCTTGAATAAGAGATGAACAGTTTGTCAATGCAAATCCTCATTAACCCCAGCACAAAATTTTGTCAAACTTTGCAGTTAATTAGGACTCAATGTGTAGATGTACATATCACCAGGAAATTCCGATTCCTTTATTTTTTCTTTTCAACTTAGATTTTTGGCCATACCTTGAATATGTAGGAATTTCGTCAAACTTAGCAGATATTCAGGACACAATTTGTAGATGTGCATATTACCAGGAAATTGGGATTCCTTTTATAATTTTGCCGACAATTTCAGCACTTCGAGTTTTTGGGGAGCGTGGGGTATGTGAGCTTGCTCACCTTTCCTTTCATTTGTCCTTTGTCCGGAATAGACTAGAAGTGACGTAATTTTCATCGGGACCGATGTCTCATGCTGCCTTGATTTCTAGATTTGCTTGATTTATAGATAATTATGCTCTATGAGAGGGGATTTTACCTTAGCGGTGTCCCTTCTTTAGGAATCATTTAGGAAGCACTTAAAATTTAATTATTCCTCAGATAGTACTTAGCTGATGCAAAGTCAACTTTATTTACAAATATTCATATAAATTATGCATAGCATATAAAACAGAATCTGAATTAAACGGAATAATTAAGGGAAAACTGCGAGAGACCTTAACATAAAAATGATGAATGAGATCAAAGTCAAATCTATCAAAACTCCTCTCAAATTTTATTGACACTCACATTCTTCAGAAAATATGATGTATTTACATGTATATAAGTAGGTATAGCAATATTCTGGCGGAATATCTGTACAATAGGGGATCAATTATTTTACAGAGGAATATATAAGGGAAAATCTTAAAATTAATTTGCTCAATAACAGCAAAGCCATTTGTTATATTATATAGGGAAATAATCAGAGGAGTTAAAATTCAAATACCTTGTACACATGGTAGAAATTTCAATTTTTTTTTAGCAATTGAACTTATATAGGTAAACCATATGGCCCATAGGGCTCTTGTAACTTTTGTTTTAGGGACTTTGTAAAGGGACTATCAGTTTACAATTAATATGATTAATATGATTATTGTTGTAGGAGTTTGTTATGGGACTATCAGTATTATCTAGAGGAACTCTTCAGGAGCGGTTACAATGGGCTTTCAATCTATATGACATTAATGGCGACGGCTTCATCACAAAAGACGAAATGACGGACATCGTGTCGGCCATTTATGAGATGATGGGCCGCTTCTCAGAACCTATGATTGACGAGAACACAGCCAAAGAGCACGTGGAGAGAGTCTTTCTTGTGAGTTCATTTTTAGCCGGGCTTATTGCTCAAAGAGCAATTGCCGGCTTATGTCATCCTGTTCAAGGCAGGAAGTCAACCCCATAGTTCGCCATTTTAAAGTTACGAGTAAATATATAGTTCTTAATTGCTCTCAACCGCTTTTGAGATGATACAAACGCTAAATAAAGCAACAAAAATAAAACGAAGTTTTATCTTTATAAAACATTAGTAGTATTGACTTTGAAAACTTCAGTTCTAAGTCAAAGAACACTATAGTTCATTAGCGTAATGATTTTTGATAATCAGTGTTATCGTAGTTCTCTACACATACGAGGTAAAGCAGGAGAGGGAACCAGACTGGCCTGTTTGTTTACATTCAGCTGCGGTACCAGATTAATGCTGATTCTGACAAAATCGGACCGTGGTATTAGGATCGAAAAACTCACTGTCAGTGTCTTATCATTTACATGTATATTGATAGTTTTAAAATAATTTTTTCATCAGAATATAAACGTATGATTCATGTACGAAATTCATTCTACTCTGTAAATGAGCCCGGCTCTCTGTACTTCTGAGTTTTCCTTATGTATGTGGTAATATTCTACTATCACCTGTATATGGTGTTTATATCTCTGTATATGGTGTTTATATCTCCAAACTAATTTGCTTTCCAAGAGCGTGCTCAGAGTATGATCAATTTTTTACATAAACATACCAAGCTACTCGCACATAAATTGATGTTACCAGGATTTCAACAACCTCGTTAAAGTCGGCATTTTGTTAATTCTAAGGTCGTTACAATGACCTGATTAGTAAATATAACCTATTATTGGGTCGAATTTTGGCTCATTTGCTTCAAACCAATTGTATGACCTTTTAGTATTAAATTTGACCGCGGTTCCAATGTTCCGTCTACTTCATCAATACATAGGGCTCACAGCAGGTGTAACCGTCGACAGGGAAGGCTTGCTCCTCCTAGGCACCTGATCCCACAAATTTCCAGGGGTCCTTGTTTATGTCCTGTCCACAGACGTGTATTGTTTGAAGTTTTTATGAGATCGATCACTGTCTGTTATCTTTACCCTGTTTAAGAAGTTTATCATTCTCTTTCCTCTCCCAAAAATTAAGTAGATCTAATACACCTACGACATGAAGGTGAAATATCACAACACGGAAAAGAACTATTATTACTGATTTAATTCAAACGATCTAGAATTTTGTATATTTCAGTATTACTCAGTTCATTCTGAATGATAATGGAGAAACTAGTTTTTGTTCTCGTAAACAAATAAAAATATACTGTCCTTATCCCGTCGATATGCTGTCTTCTCCAACATGTTCCATCTTCTGATAATTTGTTCTATTGACTATACTCCTACGCATACCCATTCCATGTGAAAGCCATTCATATTAAGATTGGGAAGTCCGATATCCGATATGTGGCCGGAAGTAATGTGAATGACCGAATGTAACATTGGTATCAAGTAATCAAGACATTAATGCATCTTTCGGTTGTTTACATGTTATGCTTATTTTGCAGAAAATGGATACCAATCGAGATGGTGTTATTACATTTGACGAATTTATGGACACGTGCCGGAGGGTAGGTATTGTTTATTAGTAGACGTCTTCTAAGGGTCGACGTCAACTATAGGTCGACATATCTATTAAAAAAAGAGTAAACAGATGTATTAATAGCGAATTAGTCGAGATCAATTATATAGGCAAAAGTCTGAAGAGGGATAATGGAGAAAAGCTCTACATGTAACAGAAAAACGCCCTCTTTTCTCGGTCCACACGTCTATTTGTTGAATGAATTGCTGTGCATACTTACTATGTCTACATGCACTGTAACGCATTCAAAAATACCCTGTACTTGCAAGCTGGTGTGGAGGCGATTTGGCATTATTTCATAATTTATTTCTCAAGTTAGTTTTGTATAAGTACTCCCAGAAAACTAAAACCCCTGAAGAATGTAAGACATTGGTCAAGTGATTCTTTAAAATCACTTTGTTGTTCTTTTAGGTCATAAAGTGCCAGCACATTTTCGTATTCCCTGCTTGGTAGCTAGATGCAAATTCCTTGAACATGTAAAATTCTGTTCAACATGATTTCGAACTCTTGAGTTTGTCATCTGCCAATTTATTTCAAGAACTGCATAACACGATAACGGCATGACATTAATCTATTTAATTTTTTCTCCATCATTCTCTTTCCTAAGGTACAAAGATTAATAATATTATTTTCGTATGTTTCTAAGTTCCAGATCAGTCGATTAACCTTTTCTACGCTAAAAAAAGAGATAATTGTGCTGACTGTAACGTTCTGCGAAAGATCGCGTCTTTTACAAAATCAGGAAATCATTGTTAGATAGGATTTCCAAAAGGAAAGGGCACTAAATAATTTAAAATCTCATTAATAGAAATTAAAGCTATCTTTTATAGGTTTAAAACGATGTTTGTCTGTTATCTTGATAGGCTGCCCTGTCAGTTTGATTAACGTAGCAACACTTGTAAGTCTTTCGATCGATACCGGCCCACTAATTATTATTGATACCAGCCTTTATAAAACCATGGAGACAAGGGAAATGCTGTCGTAGTAATTCCTCACGGTTTAGTTGATATCTGATAGCTCATTTGGGAGGAAGAAAATGGTCAACGTAGTCTTAATTAAGGAAGGAAAACCCTATTTTTCTATCATTAAAATATGGCTACGATAAAATCTGATAACAGACAAATGATTTACTTCTTTATAGAAACGCACGAATTTTCCTAGATATTAATTTGCAAAGAGTGTTGAACTAGTCTCTTACTTTTGCATGTACGTTTTTAGTTCACCAAACCTTAAAACTAAAAGTAAGCTTTTCTGGTCACCTTTGGTCCGTCGTTCGTCTGTTTCTCCATCTGTAAACTTTTCAGATTTTTGCAGATTTAATGAAACTGACTTATATGAAACCTTCTTTAATAGTGTAGTTGCAAGTTTGATCAAATCACGACCACTGGGAAAAATCTGCAAAAAAGGTTTTCTCAAGAACAATAAAGCAATATTGCTATTGAAGTACCCCAGGTAGTGTACGTTCAAGATTGTTCAAATCATGTTCCCCGGGGGTCGGGTGGGCCAGAAACGGGGAGGGCGTCCGAGTTTTACATGAACATAAACAAGATTATCCCGCTTCAGACAAATTTGTCGATTACTGATTGGATAAAAGCTGATCACATGACGCCCTGAAATTTTCCGTATTACGTCTCCGTTTCCATATTACGTCTCCGTCGAGGCGTAATATGAAAATCGGGCACGCGATTCCGTTCGAAGCGTTGTTATTGTAAATAAAAATGGCGGCTAAGAAACGGTAGGTAGTTTAGTTAAATTTCTTGTTACCGTAACGATATTTTATGTTGATTGTTATTGGATTAAAACAAATATTTTTATAATATGCACAAATATTTTTTTTATATATAGAAAAAGGTCTTCAGCGGGATAAATTCGTTACACAGTCAGTTAGTGACCTAATAAGGATTCATACAGGGTGTGAAATGGAAATCCGTATTGGGACTCGGCTTCGCCTCGCCAAATACGGATTTCCATTTCACACCCTGTATGAATCCGTATTAGGTCACTAACTGACTGTGTAACTAATAACACCATGGTAATAGTGAAGGTGAGCGTTATAGCCAAAGGGACTGGTGTTGATAATTGATTATAGGATTATTATGTAATTTATGTATTACTCTAAACCGAGTGATAAACAAACGCAAAACAGAGAAGCCAATTAAAAACATTAACAAACCAGCTTAAACACGTGAAGCCACATAAAAGAAGGAGAATACGCGTATCTGAAAAATTAAGCCATTAATGAAGGTCAATTGAAGTACATTTCATTCAATTTGAAGTAGTTCACGGTGTTAATGTTAATTCTCTGTAATTTCAGGATGAAAATATAACTAAAGGAATGGCCATTTTTGACACAGTCCTTTAACAGTGTGATAACAGTTGCATCAGATGTGAAAACCAAAACTCTTTGGGTTGTTTTCTTGCCAAGGTGAACAATAAACCTGATGTCTGATTGAGGAATACTGAATGAGAAGATTGTGGTGGAAATATTGCCAAAATAAGCTCACTAGAACCTTTCCACGAGACCAATCAATGTTTGTCCATATCTGCACTTCCGGTCTGTTTATAAGGGGGCGTGGCCTGGCAGATACATGCCTTTAGTTCACCGAGATCTCGTTTTTAATCCTGTAGTTTAGGAGACTGGCATCTCCCTTCTAGTTATGATTCAGTCTGGAATCGTAATACCCATGAATTCTACCAATCAAATTGTTTCATCACAGTTACTACTCGTTTGAAGCACATTAACCATGACGGAGCCAAAGACTTCTTTTTTGGAGTTCACGCCGTTTTTGGATTTCGGCTAGACTGTTAACCTTTTGGACAGCTACCTGTGCAAGAAGACTCTTGCTTCAGGGCTCTCTGGAGATCCATAACATTTATATGTATGTTATATACACGGAATAGGTATATCTTGTATACTGATCTCCTATCAATGAGATGTTTTCAAGAATGCAATGCATGTTTTCGAGAAAAAAAAATCAAAAGTTTTTAAGAGGGCATCGGTATATTCTTTACACAGGACAATTCATATAAATGTGTAAGGTATATGCGTAGAAAGATAAAACCATACTCACCATGTAATTTATTCAAGCATTCACAGTAGTATTCATTGTGAAAAAACATTTATGATTTTATTTCAACCCTATGGTCAGTTGTACGAATTTCATTTTACTTGTTCGGTCTTTCAATGTCCTTGTAATATTTGTTTGACAGACAGGTACCGAGTAGTTATAAATTCTTTTAATTATTTATCATCGTTCAAAAGATTGCTTAAAATATAATGAGGCTAGTTTACAATTTCGGTGCATACTTTATTTGTTGAATTATTTTGTTAAATCATTATAACAAGGAATTGTCCTGATATTTTTCTTTGGGTGTTCAGATAATGATGATGGACTTCATTTAGATTTTGAAGAGCAGTAATGCTCAAAGAAATAAAAGATGGCGGGTGACTTTTTCAGCTTGGCCTTCAAACCAACATGTCTACTGAATCACGTGATATGTAATACCATGTGATTGGCTGTTATTATTGTTAGACTTAATGTTATTGGTTGCTTCAGTTGTTGGGTTGTCAATTATGTTTCAAATCTGTGATTTTCGATAGGCATTCCTACCGTTCACCATGACATAAAACTGTAATCATTTAACCTATAACCTTTGTCAAGTTGACCTTTAATGTTTGTAGTATGTTATTTATAAATTAACCCCTGTGTCAGAATTATATTATGAAGGTATCCCACGTTCCATTTACTTTATCGTTTCAATGTACTTTACAAAGTATTGGAAATTATTGTTGCCAATAATAAAATGTTCTCAAAGCCAGTGCTCTTTAATTGCTTTGTTTTTTTTTTACTGTTTATCTCTGCACACCCTGGAAATATGTTTGATTGCCTAGTCTCCGAAAATCAATTTAAACAGCAGTCGATCATCAGGAACAGAAAAAATAAGAATTTGATCGGAAATTGGTTTACCTTGTACACGCCGAGCGTTTAATGCACATCGGTAAATTTCCTAAATTTTTACTTGCATGGAAAATGGATAATATGCAAAATTGATGATACCTCACTTTAAGGTGTTATTTTTAACAGTTAATGGCAAGCAAAGTCTAATGATCATAGATGGTTCTGTTAGAGTTAGACGACAGTTTATGTAGAACACGCAAGAGACGCATTAAGAATTGGCCATCAGGGGCGCTCTGACACAGTAACCAGTTGACAATCTTCACACTTAACAGGCCTTCAGCTGTTAAAATATTTAATCGAACACGTTCTACCGTTAATGAAATAGATTTCCAAGAGGATAGAGATTCCTGTATGTATTTATTAACTTTTAGACACTCCTCTTCAAATATCAGATACAATATTTGCTGATTGTCCATACTTCTTCCGATAGGACCATCTCAATCCCGTTCTATGACCCGCTGTACAATGGGGTCAAGGATTAAATATTCATTTTAAGGACATATACCGTAATTAAGTACATTAAGTACCTTTCCTACTGAATATTTTACAAGATTTTATTAATGTAGGATTATAGCGCCATCAGATATGTATAGACAAAAATGAGCAGTATAGACTTTTGAAGAGATATTAATTGCTGAAAATTCATTAATAAATTTTACCAATCATGGCTTTGAAGTACTTGAAAAGAAGATTTAAACGGGTTACCTATATATTCCTATGTAAAACTTTGGTCGACCATTTTGGCCCCACCCTAGCCCCGGGGGTCATGATTTGAACAAACTCGTATCTACACTACCTGAGGATAATTTCACATGAGTTTCATCTTTCCTGTCTCAATGATTCTTGAGAAGAAGATTTTTAAAGAGTTTTCCTATTCCTGTGTAAAACTTTGATCGGCCTTACTGGCCCCACCCTACCCCAGGGAATTTACACTATCAAAGGATGCTTCCATATGAGTTTCATCTTTCCAGGCTCAGTGGTTCTTGATGAGAAGATTTTTAGAGATTTTTTCTATATTGTTGTGAGATGTGTATTGTTTCATCTTGTATATTATTAGTAACATTAAGTTTCTTGAGCATTCCAGAGTGGTCAATATGTTTGGTCATTTTTTCTAGAACATTCTTAAATTTTGTGTATGTCCAGATTGTTCCAGTAATATCATGTTTTAATAATTTCTAGAATATTCTAGATTTATGATACTATATAAATACCCTGTCAATTCGATGCATGGACAATACTTTGTCGTATAAGCACCGTTGAGATATAACTGGGATACATTTTCACTGGGACATTGTGTGCAGCAACGGACACTCTGATGTATGTATTTTTAGATTCTTGCTAAGTTTGTACTTTATGTTTCATATACTTATTATATATTACTGTAAATAAATTATTGTTAAGTTTAAATTGTGTTATTGATCTTTGCTGGCATTTAGGGTTATTCTGACCCATAACAGAATTGGGGCTCGTCCGGGATCAAGAATTTCTTGCACTTTTGCAGTTCGTTGTCAGAATTTTGTTAATTAAATTGTTAAATTTGATTATAAGCCAGCAGAAATCAACATGGTGTTTTCGGTCACAGACTTTCTTAGTTCACCAAGTGTTCAGGTTTTTGATACGTTAAAAAAGGATGACTTGATCGCATTAGGTTTGCATTTTGGGTTAGATGTTAAATCCTCTCAGAGAAAGCAAGACATTAGAATTAAGGTTGCAAACAAACTAGTAGAAGAAAACATCTTTGAAAAATACGATCTTTCAGAATATACAGTAAGATCAGAGTTAGGCTCTTATAAAATGGCAGACTATCAGTTTCAACTAGAGTTAGAGAAAATGCGATTTGAAAGAGAAAAATTAGAAAGAGAAGAGCGAGAAAGAGACAGAGAAAGAGAAAGAGAAGAACGAGAGCGTGAACGAAAATTTGAATTAGACAAATTAGAAAGACAAGAGCACTTTGAGTTAGAGAAATTAAGATTACAGCACCAACCAGAACCGTCATTTGTCAAGAATGAATTTGACGCAGCAAAAAATATTAGATTAGTTCCAAAATTTCAAGAAAAATCTGTAGACAAGTATTTTCCCCAATTCGAAAAAGTCGCAGAAAATCTTAAATGGCCACAAAATGTTTGGTCAACAATGTTACAAAGTGTACTGGTTGGCAAAGCAGCAGAGGTATACTCTGCACTAGGGGTAGCTGAAAGTTCAGACTATGAGAAGGTCAAAGCAGCAATATTAAAAGCATATGAATTAGTACCTGAAGCATATAGACAAAAATTCAGAAAGTATAGGAAGTTTGATAACCAAACATTTGTTGAATTTTCACGAGAGAAAGAAGATTTATTCGATCATTGGTTTAGATCTAAGAAACTTGATAAAACTTTTGCTAATTTGCGCCAAGTCATCCTGGTAGAAGAGTTTAAGGAATGTGTTCCTCAAGATTTGAAAACACATTTAGAAGATAAGAATGTGAAAACTGTTGAAGAGGCAGCAGTCATATCTGATACTTACGCTCTGTCTCATAAAAAGAATTTTGTATCGAGATCTCAGACTAGCAGTAATTCTACCAATTCAGACACATATAAAAAGAGTGGTTCAGGGTCTCAGTCTTTCACAAGTTCCCAGTCTCCATCACAAGCTGGTTTTAAGTCCGGTCCAGGACGTGTTGAAGGATCATCTGGACTAGGGTCGCTTCCTACTTGTAGTTATTGTAAGAAAAAGGGTCATCTCATCAGTGAATGCTTTAAACTTAAGAGAAAAAATGATTTTGATAAAACTCAACCACATGCTTGTGCGGCAGTTAGAGGTGATAGAGAAGCCTTAGTTTCAATTTGTTCTGACACTCCTGATGTCCAGGGTTCACAGTCCAGTGCTATTGATTCTATGGAGGATTATAAGCCCTTTATGTCTCAGGGATTTGTTTCACTCGGTGACTCTAGCGAAATAAAACCTGTCCAGATTTTGAGAGATACTGGTGCTGCACAGACGTTATTGTTAGAGGGCGTGATTCCTTTGTCTGAGCAGACTTCTACTGGTGGGTCAGTTTTATTACAGGGTGTGGAGCTAGGCGTCATTGATGTTCCCCTACATAGAATTAGTTTGAAGTCAGATTTAGTTACTGGACCTGTTATCGTAGGTGTTCGACCTACTCTTCCCGTTCCAGGCATTTCTTTGTTGCTAGGCAACGATTTAGCTGGTGGAAAAGTTGTACCAGATCCTATAGTTTGTGAGAAAATCACTCCAGATGTCATGTGCGATGATGAAGATGATGACATTTATCCAGCCTGTGCTGTTACTAGAGCGATGGCCAGAAGACGAGAAATGGAGGCAGACCATACTCAAGCCTTTGACGAAACGAATTCCTCTATTGATATTGATTTGAAGGACACTTTCTTATCTGACCTTGATGGCACTCAAACAAGCATGGAACCACACAGTATGAAGAAGCAAGAGAAGAAAGAACTTTTACCAAAATTTGGTGGTGAGGATGATGAGTTGCATCCACTAGTTAGCCAAGGCAAGGACATCCTCAGCCGAGAACGTTTACTCTCTGAACAACATAAAGACCCAGATATCATTCAACTTAGTAAGAGGGCACTTCCACCAGAAGAGGCTACTAAAGTTGGAGAATGCTTCTATATGAAAGATGGCATCCTTATGCGAAAATGGCGACCACCTGACGCTTCTCCAGATGAAGTGTGGCGTGTTGTTCACCAGATAGTGGTCCCAGCTGCTTATCGTCGAGATGTCATGAGTTTAGCTCACGATACACCTATGGCTGGTCATTTAGGTATCAATAAGACTTATAATAGGATTTTGAGTCATTTTTATTGGCCTAAGCTAAGAAAGGATGTTTCGAAGTTTTGCAAGTCATGCCATGTCTGTCAGATGGTAGGTAAACCAAATCAGAAGATACCATCTGCTCCTCTCCAACCCATTCCAGCTTTTGAAGAACCGTTTAGTCGAGTGTTGGTGGATTGTGTAGGACCTTTGCCTAGGACAAGATCTGGAAACCAGTATTTACTTACCATTATGTGTACATCCACTCGGTTTCCTGAAGCCATACCTCTTAGGAATATAAAGGCAAAGAGCATAGTTAAGGCCCTAACCAAGTTTTTCAGTTTTGTAGGAGCACCCAAGGCAATTCAGTCGGATCAAGGCTCAAATTTTATGTCGGGGTTGTTCCAGCAAGTCATGCATGAGTTGGGTATTAGGCAGTATAGATCAACTGCTTATCATCCTGAGTCCCAGGGAGCGCTAGAACGTTTTCATCAAACCCTAAAAACAATGCTGAAGACCTATTGTTACCAGTATGAAAAAGAATGGGATGAAGGGGTTCATCTTGTGCTATTTGCTGCACGAGAAGCAGTCCAGGAGTCTCTTGGGTTCAGTCCTTTTGAATTGGTGTTCGGACATACAGTTAGAGGTCCTTTGAAATTGTTGAAGGAAAAGTGGCTGACTGAGACTAGTGATCTTAATCTTTTAGATTATGTGTCTGATTTCAAAGAAAAACTTTACAATGCTTGTAAATTAGCACAAGAAAATTTGAAGAGTTCTCAGATGAAAATGAAAATGTGGTATGACAAAGATGCCAGAAATAGGGTGTTTAAGCCAGGTGATAAGGTTCTTGTATTTTTACCTATTCCTGGTCATCCTTTACAGGCCAGATTTTATGGCCCTTATGAAATTGAAAGCAAGATCAGTGATGTAAACTATGTAGTTAAGACAGCAGGTCGACGTAAAGAGAAACGGGTTTGTCACATTAACATGTTAAAAGAGTATTTTGAAAGGTGTGACCGAAATTCTGTAAAACCAGTTTCCACTTTAGCCAATGCTAAGACTGTTCAAAATTGTATTGAAAGTGGTACGAGTGTAGA